AACACAATATTTTTTCTGCGCGCTACAGAAAACGGGCAACAATGCCGACAAGTGCGCAGAATCCCTTCACTTTCGTTTCCCCCGCCTTGCCCAGAATTCTTCCTCTTCTTCAACTTTTTCACAATCCGCAGAAAAGCCAAAAAATCAATTTTGATCACAAATTATTATGTTATTTCATTTTATAAATATATAAAAAACCACCGCACGTAGCCGGACTCGAACCCAAACCGTNTTTTTGATAAAAAATAGTGATTATTTTATGATTTTTATTTTTTCCCTCAAAGCTAAAAATTATTGAGTTTTATTTTTTACTTAAGAGTAATGATTATTCAAAAAACTCAAAATATCCTTTTCTGAGGTAGCGACAATTTAATAAAAGGAATTAATCCCGAAATTTTTAATAATAATTACCTATAACTGATTATTATTTTTAAGCGAAAAAAATAAAGTAATGATTAAATGCTTATTTGGTTTTATAAATCCATATTTTGGAACGAATGGATAAAAGGCTTGATGCCAGGAGTTCCCAGTCAGAAATTCTCATCTTTGGCACAAATATACACTCATATATTTTTTTAATTAATTTAATTTTTTATTTAATATTTACATACATACACACACTTTTCAAATAACACTTTAAAATTCACTTTTCATATAACGACAACTGCGCGCTTATAAGATTTTTTCATTTTGACAACTTTGGGCGTTAGTTGATTTTCTTTCATTTTCCCCTTTCCCATTTTTTAACAATTTTGGCGCATTTCTACTTTTGACAAAATCTAAAAATAGCCAAATTACATTTTTGGTATTTTTTTTACCATTTCCCCGCTTTTCTTATAAAAAATCTAAAAATAGCCAATTCCCATTTTTAGCCTAACGGTATATCGCAAGACCAAGTGCAAAAAGGTGAAAAATTTCATCTCTTTCTGTGGTAAACAATTTAGTTTGGTGAACTCTCGCATCTCAAATATTTATTTTGGTGAACTCCCGCATCTCAAACCTTTCAGAATTTAGTAGTACTAAAAAAATTAACATTAACATTTGCGCCTTCTCATTACATTAACATTCTCTGGTAATATCCCAACAAGCAAATTAAACTTAAAGAAAGCTTTTTTAAAGTTTTGTATTATAAACGCTTGAAAGTAAGCGTAATATAATCGAAAAGGAACCTTGGTTATAAGCGTAGAAATATAAACTTATAATAAATGCTGAAAAGAAAGCTTTTTATTAGCGTAAAAGTGTAAACTTATAATAAAGGTTAAAAGAATTGTTTATAAGCGTATGAATATAAACTTACTAAAAATTTTCAAAATAAAGCTTTTTATAAACGTTTTTATAACTCTTTATTTAAAGATATTTCATTAAAAACTCATACATAGATTGCTTACTATCTAGAAACTAAAAGAAATGCGAATTTTCGGCGGACTCATCTACTGTCGCGAAAATATAAATAGGGAAGAGACATTTTAGCATTCAAATTCACGATAACATACAAACATTAAGCATAAAAAGGTTAATTATTACATCTTGTTGCGTGCAGCAGCTTTTAATTACATGCGGTTATTGGCAAATTGGAAAAACGACATCGATGCAGCTATATATTCCGCTTCATCGCCGCCATTCTCATTGATGGACTTTTCTGAAAAAAATTTAATACGTTTTTAATTGAATGTTAAAGTAAGCAAGGATAAGGAGAACTCATCATTTTATGTTCAATGTGTTCTTCCGCGGACTTCACTATTCAAATTTATAATTTCTTCACACTGTCTTTTTCACTTTTTAAACGCGACATTTCCGCCTATTTTTACCGCATTGGTTTTATATTATTTTTTCTTTTAATAATATATGTATTTTAAAGAACGTAAACACGTCACTGACAATTGAAAAAATGTTCGATGTACTGCTTCATGTCGTTGGCATTTGCATTTCATTTTTAAGTTTAAGTGATTTATAAACATTCGCTCTCAACACTTATTAAAGGTTTATTTGAAAAAACTTTTAATAAACTTAATATTAAAAACGCTTATTTAACGCTTATTATAGCAAACTTACTTACTGTAAGTTATTTTTAAAAACATTTACTGAAATGCTTGTTGGGATTTTACCTACGAATGCTTCAGTTGCTTCGTGTCATAATTGTTTTTGCTTTTGCTTGTTCTGAATAGTCAAAGACGTCGATAACGATGTTAATCGGAGATTAGTGTCAACCAGGCTTTGAGCAAATGGCCCTTAGGGTTCTGTTAAACTAATCCAGCACTATACATCTGTGTTGGTCTCATCCCCGTTTGATTACATGGGCCTAAATCTGTTGCAAAGTGCAATCTTTTATTAATAGCTGTGAAAGAAAAAAACTTCTGTTTTTACCAAAACTCAAAAATTCATATCTTACAAAAAACCAAAACACCTCCGTGAAAATTATAGGATCTTGTAAGAACATGCAGGGGTACTATGCAAAAAAAATTTTGCCCAAAAAAATATTAGGTTTTGATTTATTCAGTTTTAAAAATTTAGCAATTTTGATTTTTTTTTAATACATTTTTTTAATACATATACATATTTGTATAGCCCGAAGTATCCTCTTAAAAACGAGTCCAAGATGTTTTTTGTAGCTATAATAGGTTTCGAGGTATTCAAAAAATTGACTTGAAAAACTAAAAATTTTGAAATTTTGAATTTCGCATAACTTTTGCAAACATGTTTTTAAATTTTTTCCTGTTCGTGGAACTTTATTATAGATTGAAAGAAAACTTCTGACCAAATTTCATCCAAATCGAAAGAGGTAAAGTCCAGCCATTGGTCGATTTCACACGGATTTACCCGCCTTCAGCTGAGATGTTTTTGGACTAAAAATTACGCTCAAGGTCGCAGAATATTTATCTTTACAAGTTGGTTTATTCTGAAAGCACACCTCTTGTTAAGCTATCAAATTATTCGTAATTGTTTGTAGAATACAAAACATTCTTAAAAGGTTTTTAAAATGAAATGCTTCAAAAACTATACGCGATAAATCCAAAATTTTTATAATTGTGAAAAGTAGAGTTACACACTTTTCCTTACTTGCCATTTAGTTATTTTTTAAAGCACATTTTATTTACCAACTACATATGAAGTGTACACATAAGTACCAATTGCACATAAAATTTCAAACCATTATATGGGGTGCTTCAAAATTTATGACAATTAATTTTTCATAACTTAAAAATTACATAAAAACCTCACTTGTTTTTAATATTTTTTTGAATTAAAATATCTATAACTCCAAAGTTATGCAAAAAATTGATTAAAATTTTTTTGAGGCTTCAAGTATATATACAGTATCGGTCATATCTATAGCACGCCATTTCAAAGTGATATTGTGTGCAACTTATGTTTATTTATTTATTTTTGAGAATTTTCAATTAAAATACAGTTCTTTCTCTAACAATCCCCATGTAAAAACAAGTTTAACAATTTGTAGAAAACTTCAAAAAAGTTCAACAAATTTTCACCTAAATTTCAAACTTTTTTCTCGGAAGTGTTAGAATTTTTTTGAGTACACAGTTTTTTAGCCCCTGCAATTTTAGTCTGATAATGTGCAAATTTCAAGTGGCTACGAATTACCGTTAATTTTTTAGAATTTTTTTCGCCAAAGGTGTTGCGGATTTCTTCCATATACAAATAAATTGAGTTTATTCATTATAATGCCAATGCGATAAAAAAAATTCTAAAAAATTAACGGTAATTCGTAGCCACTTGAAATTTGCACATTATCAGACTAAAATTGCAGGGGCTAAAAAACTGTGTACTCAAAAAAATTCTAACACTTCCGAGAAAAAAGTTTGAAATTTAGGTGAAATTTTGTTGTACTTTTTTGAAGTTTTCTACAAATTGTTGAACTTGGGTTTATATGGGGTTTGTTAGAGAAAAAACTGTATTTTAATTGAAAATTCTTAAAAATAAATAAATACACATAAGTGGCACACAATATCACTTTGAAATGGCGTGCTATAGATATGACCGATACTGTATAATCAACCAACTTGATATAGTTTACAACAATGAAAATAAAGCTAAATAACATAAAGGTTACCTGTTTTTTAGATTTGCATATATATATATATATATATATATTCGCGTTACGTATGGCTAGTGGCTACTGACTTTCGGCCACTGAGTCTAGTAGCGGAGTTTTCTATTTTCCGCTTATGACGATTTTGTTATTTGTTAACATAAATATTTAAACACATAAGCGCAAAATTGCCAATTACTTCGAAATATTCATGTCAAAAAAGTAAATTCGGATGTCTGCGCTTTTCTGTATGCTGAGATTAATCGCTATACATAATACAAATTACGATACTGGTAGCCATGGCCACTAGACCAGCACCTAGACCCCAGTCGCCATGCATAATAGGGTCATATGTTTATTAACAGCTGGTTCGTACCTTTTTCCCTATAAAAAAATAAATTGTAGCAGAAAATTTTATGAATTCTACTTACCCGGTTGCGTTATACCTTTCGACAGCGGGCTGATTCAAAATTCAATAAATATCGAACAGCTGATCAGTTTACCAACTACCAGAAAAATTATCAAGCTTGCCACCACGATAATTCGGTAATCGGTAAACCGCTAATAAAAAAATTTTACACAAACAAAAAACATGGGGAACACCGAGTTACCGAGTACCAACCTCAGGGTGGAGACCCCTAGTATTTCTGATCAGGATTTCGAGTTCAACTTTTCCATTTTCTCCTCTCTGCAGCCTTAAACCGCATCCCGTAATACAAAGCTGTGAAATTTAATATAATTAAAAAATAATAATTAAGGTAAAAAGTTGGTAATATTGGTAGAACACACACTTGCAACTACACAGGTGAGTGCTTTAAGAGAGTTCGAAGCCTACATTTGACCAAAGAATCTTCCAAAGTTAAAAAAAATCAAAGTAAAGCATGCAAAGCAAGCCGACATTTGGTCAGTGCCTCGAGGATAATTTTTGTATAAATATTTTTTTTCTTTTCAGCACAAAGAAGTAACCGTTTTGGAAAATAAAATTGCATCTGGACAAGTGGAAGAATTGATAATGCAAGCAGAGAATGAACTTATATTGGCAAGAAAAATGCTGGGATGGAAACCGTGGGAATCTTTAGTAAAGCCTCCACCACCAAAACAGTGGAATTGGCCACCCGCTAAAATTGTTGATCCTAAAGTGTAATCCAAATGCCTTAAAATAAATGCGATGATTCTAAACCCCATTGAATATTTTTAATTGTCAAAACCAGGGCACGAATCACGTACAGTGACGAGCAAAACTGTAACATGGTGTAACGCTTTTTATATCAGCCGCCACTCTATTCCAAGTTCTAACGACATTCATACTTTTGTTGTATATTCTTATTGGTACCCCTGTACTTCCTCTCTCATAACGAATTGAAGTCAATCCAACAACAATAATAAAACCAGTAGACAAAAATGTAAATTAAGGCATATGTTACAGTTTTGAACTTATATATTTTTAATAACTTTTTTACAATTTTCACGAAAAAAAGAATTGTTAACACAATGTTCAGTATACTTTTGCTTTTTTTAGTTCCTGGATGCAATTTGGCATACCTTATTTGTATCTCTATAAAAATTCTGGAGGTATAGCCTCCCATATATCCTTGGTTTGCTTTCATAGCTCATGTACTCCATTGGACGGACTTGGATACTTAGTAAGCTGCGCTTTTAGTTGATTTCACAAATTTTCGACGAGATTCATATCCGCGGATTGTGGAGGTCATTTCAAAATAGCAAATTTTTGCTTTTGCATCCAGTCTTTGCGAACATGTGCAGCATGTTTTGGGTGATTTTTCAGCAGAAACTCTCATTTTTTCGACTTCATCTTGTAAATTTTGTTGAAATATGAACAGATACTGTTCCTTACGCATAATGCGTACTAACGGACTAACAATATTTTTGAAATACAACCCTAAAGTATTATTGACCGACCACTGTGATTCACAGTTTGCCTTACATGATGCGCTGAGGCTTAATGTGGGTCTTTGATCCAATACCATGCCGGACCATCTGATTGAAAGCGATTAATTTAGTCTTGTCAGACCAACTAACCTTCAATTAGATCTTAAAAATGTGTTTTTTTTATTGCATTCTGTAAGGCCTAACATATCCCAATAGGCAACGGTCCGGTATTAGTGCGATCCGGCAAAATGCTACCACTCTCGCACATTTATTTTGATCAAAATGGTTTTTTCTTCTTTTATTAAGCCTTTGCCTCGCTGTCTACTGATTTGCAGCGCTACTTGCTACTAAGTTCACAAGATATCGGACCGTAATATTTTTTAGCAGACTTCCTTTGTCCTTAATAACTTTTTAGGCTATATTTTTTCTCAGTCTTAACATTTTCATGTGGCGAACTCCACAATTTTTTGTCACTTTTCCTACGGTCCCGCGTTTCCGCAGTAAATATATTATTTACATTTATGTTTCCTGATTAACCATATTATTTACTGGTAACCGCTTGTTGAATAAATTACAATACAGAAAAAAGTGATCTGACTTCCAACTAATGAAAAGATAATTGTAAAATGCAAAACTGAGAGTGAGTGCATAACATTTGCCTTAATTTACATTTTTGCCTGCTGGTTTTATTATTAATGTTGGATTGACTCCAAATCTTTGTGAGAGAGGGAGTAGGGGTGTACCAATAAGAATATACAACGAAAGTATAAAAGTCGTTAGAACTTGGAAAGACAGCGGTGGCTGAAATAAAAAGTGTTACACCATGTTACAGTTTTGCTCGTCACTGTATGACGATAATCGTCTGACGATCTTGTGTTGGCGATTGTGTTGCTTCACGAAAACCACCAAATGTTTGATCAATTTTGCTTTACGTAACAGTTTGAAATACCACGTAGTATTAAATAAACGTGCGTTCTTGCACGATAGTGAATTCAATATCGTTTATAAGAAAAAACAGGTACATATTTACATATTTAATTTTTTTATTTTTACCAGTTTTTTAAAGACTGGAATTGAAGAGATGGCGCTTTAATCCTTTATCCTTCCAAGAAAAGACATATGCAAAAACATTTTTTTATATTGTTTCTGACAGTCATTTCCACCAATTTGTTCAATCCATTCCGGCAATATTAGGTCACTTGCAGAACAGCAGGTTATCTATATAACTCGAAGTCGATAAATTGGCTTGCACAATCAATGGTTAGGAGTAAAATTAGAGTTAAGTCGTTAAATATTTAGCCCAGCAATTTTCGAAGGTTAACTTGCTAACTCTACATATGTCAATTCTGTCAGTAACAAGAATACAAAAATTTAAAAAATGCACGTATTCATTTTCCGCCTTCAAATCTGAGGTTTCGGTCAGTCTCGCTTAAATAATATATGCGATTTAAATGCACCAAAAGTGTGCAGTGAAGAAGTGTCGCTGGCCAACTACCATGGCGTGGATTTGATACATAAATGAGTACATATTCAGACCAAGTAATATAAGGCCCTCTTAAAGCTGATGTGCTTGGACAGGCATGGGTATTGATCCACCCATTGCGAGATATAATTTTATTTAATATTTGCCATTCTTTAGTTTTTCTGTTTGTATTAGAAATTTGTAGTATTTAATTTCAAATAATAAATATAAACAATCAAAACAAACGCCAAAAAATGGAGAATGGTGCCTACTTAATTTAGAAATCCCTCAGGTTGTTTAACTCTGAGCCGATTATCAATGCTGCAAGGCATTGTCGGGTTTAGGAATTTAAAAATTTAACTCGTAGCTACTGAACTCTGTATTTATGTATATATTTAACTCTAGATCTTCTGCAAGTGGACCTTAGTATATATCCTCCTTTGGATTCCTTAACGAAGGTGGCTATCAGTAGTGGACTGAAAATTGCGCGAAAATTGAACTAATTCATAATTTTAATATTTCAATTAACCACCGACATAAATCCAGACTCTTTGTCAACTGACACGACCTATATTATGAGATTTTTGTGTTTACTAAAACTCACCACCGCAGGACGGTGTTGTTGTCATTACCCGTAGAGAGGTTCCTCTATTTATCAACAGCGATTAGATATGTTGATATGTAAGGGTAGCTGAACCATAAGAATCAGAGACCATAACGATTATAAGAAATAAAATTAAATATTGCTTTATAATTATTACCGAACAATGGAAAAGTTGTTTTCGTCTCGCGTAAATTATTTTCGTCTTCTCATAATAATTATATGGGTCTTTTATTTTTGAAGTGAAACTTCTTTCTTTGGTTGGTTGGGAGTAAATTGGCAAATTCAACAGAAATTGCACACGGAAATGGTGCAATGGAAGTTGCACACGAAAATGGTGTAACGGAAATTGCACACGGAAATGGGTGGGGTTGAAACAAGTGCTTCGTGAGTGTATGCACATGCTATTAATTTAACAAAAACTTGCTAATAAAAGGATAAAGAATAACACCTAGAAAAAGTCAATACGAGAATGAAAGTAAAGGTGAGTACGTACATAGATATAGAGAAGGATAAAGGCAAAGGTAAAAATAAAAATAAAAACAAGATGCGTAAAGATAAAGGCAAAAACAAAGATCAAGGTAAATTTAAACACTTCACTTATATGTATAAGGGCAAATGTAAAGGGGAATATGTATGTATGTAGATGAAGAAAATGATAGACATAAAAGTAAAAACAAAGATAAATATAAAGAAAAAGATGAGGATGAGAATACCGATAAAAATAAAGATGAAGATAGAGGAAGAAAGATTAAAATAAAGGTAATTATAGAAAAAAGGATATAAATAGAGACACAGGGACTCAATCTGGGAACTATTTCGGGATTTTAGAGATTTTTGGGATTCTCGGGACTTATCGATGTAATGATCGATACTTTTATCGATTTTGATATCGATATTTTTATCGATTTTGTTTACGATATTTTGAACGATTTTGTTATCGACATTTTTATCGAATTTGCTATCGATGTTTTTATCGATTTTATCGTTATTTTTAATGGATTTTGTTTTCGATATTTGTATCGATTTCCGTAACGATTTTTATCGATTTTGCTATAGATATCGAATTTGCTATCGATATATTTTATCGAATTTGTTATCGATATTTTGATGGATGTTACTATCGATTTTGTTATCGATAGATAAGTACAAAGCGAAACACGATTTTTGTTAGTCGAATCCAGGGTAAAGCAAAATCAGATGTACATATATGTGTATGTATGTATCTTATTACATTAAACGAGCAAATCTTGTATAAATATATATCTATATATCCATAGCGTTCTCGGAAACGGATCTAACGATTTTGATGAAATTTTATACACAGATAATATTTTGGATTCTAAGGTTATCTGAATAGGCACTATCTCCGAGAAGACGCGTATAAGGTTGCCACCTATTAGAGATTAGTTACAAATGAATTAAATATGGGTATCAAATGGAAGGTATTTTAAAGATCCCTAATTCAAAAATATTTTTGAAACTCAGATCAGACGAGCCTATTAGTACACATGTTAAATAAATGAAGAACTGATCGGAATATACATACATATTTTTAATAGGGTCGCCACTTATTTTGAATCGCATATTTATTTAATTTTTTTTATAGAAAGGTAAAATATTACTATTCATGGGTACCAAGAGATGGTTCTTAAACAATGCTTTCCCTATATACAAAATAATGTCCCTTAGGATAATAGTCTAAGGCTGCCACTTATTTTCGATTCTATACAATTTATCTAAAACATCGAAATATGGATATCAAATGAAAGGTATTGTTGAGAACTTTGGTCAGAAAATATTTTCCTTCAGGGTTGCCATGCTTCTATTTAACACAAATTTTTATTTTAATACTTTCAATCAGCATTTTTTTTATGTATACACAGTACAAATACGTTCAAGATATGTTTATTTGGAGTAAGAAATTTACTTAATAGATATCGAAATTAATTTTTTTTTTAAATATCCTTTTAAAGCTATACAAATCTTGAAAACTTAAAAAATTATATGCACTCCGGGCAAAGCTCGGTCAACCTGGTACTATTGGTTATGAGACAAACTAGATATGTAACGTACGTTTCACTTTTCCAGTGTGGCCCAGGCGCTGTTACTTTTTTTCGTCTCGCGGGACGTTTAATTCAAGATGGAAATTATTTACGTCTTCTCATAAAAATTAAATGGGATTTTTATATTTTTCGTCTCGAAACGTTTATTTCAAGACGGAAATGATT